TTGTCTATTAGTCGATCACTTGGGAGTGCTTAATGTCCTACATGCCATGTATGGTGCTTGGGACCTTGGGTTTATTTTACAGTGATTACTCAAAAACCTATGTTTGCTTTTGCTCTTGGACTCTTGAGAGTTGGACTGTTGCTACTTACATCTGAAACATTTAAAATAACGTGGCCGATGCATGGTGAAAGGGCTGCCCAAGCCAGGACAAAAGCTTTGCTRCAGACCTGTGGTTGTTGCTTGAAAAGCAGAACAGCTCTAGCTGGGCAGGCAGCCCCTAAGAGCTTCCCCTCCGATACTTTCATGGGCTCCGTTCCTAGATCCAATTTGTATGAGCGAACAGTGACCTCAGGTGGTCTCTTAAATTAATCACGAGAATGTCTTTCCCATGAATTTTTCATTCTCTCTGCTTCCATTTATTAGTTTTTACTGAAAATTAAGCTTGTGTGAGCCAGCTGTTATGGCTGGCGCTTCTCCACAAACAGCGTCTGACTTTTCCTGCCCTGRCTTCGAGCATTCAAGCAAAATCTGCAAGCTATTTATTCAAAGGGCAGGTCATCCACATTTCAGAACGAGAGCAAACCTGTGTTAAAATTGTTTAAAAATGGTGTTCTTACTTGTGCTTCCCTTCCCTTTACACTGCACAGATTCTTTCTAATACTGTGGCCTCTGATTCATTTGGTAGATCTGAGAAAGAGCAGTATTTTTAAGGGTCAGGTACCAAATCTATTTCAAATCTAAGGACAAAAATCTAATTTGAATGAATTCAATATCATCAACTCAAATGCCAGTGTGCACACTGATATCGTGTTAAATATCTGCATAGACTAATAAATAGCAATGAAATATAATATAGCACTAGATCAAGAAATGTATCTACGGTAAGAGATTATATAGACACTAAAGAATATGGCAGTAAAAGCAGAAAATTATTACATTGGATAAATACTGTGTCCCTGGCAGYGTTCAAGAAAAGTGTAGATGAGGTGCTTAGGGACAGGGTTTAGCAGGCCGGGTGGTGAGGGCCTTACGGGCACACTCGATGATCTTCAGGTCTTTTCCAAACATAATGGTTCTATGACTCTAAATCACTCTCCACTCTCAGTTCTCCAAATAAAATAAAATTTAACCATCCTGCTCACTCTGTTTCTGCCCTTAGGAAATCCTAAGGGGTAATTATCAACTCCACATAGCAAGTCTTCCATTCAGTACGTTTTCAGACAGCAGCAATTCCTGAAGGGGGAACAAAATATTTTTCATCATCTCCTCTCTCAGTTATCACTACTAAACTTGCTGGTCGTGGAGACCTGACAGCTTTATCATCCAAGCTGCCAAAATTTACCAAACCTTCTTTAAATTCACAGTGGTGTCCATACACAATCTCACAACTCCTGCAGCTCCCGAGTGAAAAGGGAAATTAAATAGAGCTGTGAAAGCTAAAACATCCTGATGAGTTACCATTTAGCACTTCAGACAGCTCCATACCTTTGCAGGGATAGAAAAGAACTCCTCAAAATCTAGGCTCATGTTAGAAGTATAAACCTTTTTTTTTTAATCCCTTTTTCCTTTTCCTTTTTTTCCCTCCCTTTCATTCAGGTAAGCAGTTATAGTCCCCTTTTTATTTCCAACTTACATATACTATTAAACAGAACACAGTGCWGTCTGATTGGGAACGAACCAATCAAGATGGTGTGGCCAGACAGGACTGAAAAATTAAATCCTTATCCATCATTTTTACTACAAATGTTATCACAGACATTTGGTGATTGCATGCTCAAAAGAACCACCCAGCCACTGTTGGTCGTTGGTAAACCACACCTATGCAAACCACAACTCCAGCTACTGCTGACCTGATTTTAAGTGGCAGTAGGTGTTTATGCATTGAGATTTGGTGCATTATACTGAAACAGCTTCAGAAAACAGCAGCTGAAAATAAATCTGTAAGGGAAATAGAGCGTGATACAGGAGTGGGATCAAATTCTCCTTACGGTGAACACAAGCGTTGTGGCTCTCCAAAGCAGGTGCTTTGTGCTACTCTCTCTTGAAACAAGAGGCTAGAGGAGAATACGTGTCACAAGACCCGTGTTATTTCACAAATAAAAGGGATCAAAGACTGAGCAACTCCTCAGGGCTGAAAGTAAAAACTATACAGTAAGCACCGTGTGGCAGGGGTTCTGAAGGGTATAGAAACAAAACTTCAGTACAGGGGAACACCCTTTGCCTTGTCTACATAAAACGGCCACTATTAAGTCTCCCAAGAGGTCTGCAAAGAAGCCTAAGTTCAAAGGAGCAAAAGTGAGTCAGAATACGCCAAAAAAGGGGGGAAAAAAAAAAGTCAGATAGCTTGACAGCTCRCGATTTTTAGTCCCAAAGGCAACTCCAAAGCAGCAAACACAATGCTTCCCTTTCATAAGCACTATACCCTGTATTAAATAAGCTATGTGGTGTGTATTGATGCAATTCTCCTTCACTTTTCTCCACTATAACTTTAAATACACAAAAACATGCARTGCAATGTTAAAAAAATACTCAAAATCCAATGTAGCTTTAGTAGGAACTAGTCATCATGAAGAGAGAAGATGAGTGACATCAATTAAACAGTGTGCAATTATACTACGAGTTAGCCTCATCCTTACTTAATAATCTCACAGCTTCCAGTCTATTCTGTGGGTAGTTTCATATTAAGTCTTAGTAGTAAATTAGTGACAACCATTGTAGTTTAATCCAATCCTTCTTAAATTAGTGACAAGGACCCTCACTAATTCACACTTGATGGCGATTTCCACTCAAAACTGAATCCCCAGCTGTTGTTAGCTTCTTTGCTGACAAACATATGCAGCACCAGCTAAACTATTTGCCCTTTGTCAGAAAGGGTCATTTTTTTTTAAGTTATGTTCACTGAAAAATCTCATTGATCAGACTTAAGAATACCAAACTACGAGGGAAAGTTAAGGTACTTTGTCTTTAGCATTTTAATTTCTAAAGATACAAAGTGATGAGAAGTTGCAGGTGGACACAAGAAGCCACTATTTCGCTCTGAAACTAKAAGCTAACCCTCTTTTCAAAACTACTACTGAAAGTAAAATGAATTTAATACCAACCATCCCTATTTTTATTCCTTCCACCACAGTTACAACTTCCGTTTAGAGTACACCTAAAGAAGTATTTGGAAAAGTTCAGCTACACATGACAAACAGACAAAAACAATAATGCAAATGACTCAAAATAGTATAATTGGAAGATAAAATAACAGCAACTTTCAAGGATTAATTGCTGTTGGAAAGGGCCCCCTCCCTCAGATATTGCTGACAGTACCAGTTGCTCCCTCAGATATTGCTGACAGTACCAGTTCATACCACTGTAGCTGGATCCAAAGACTGTCTGTCAGCTTGGTCCCTGTGTTAATAAATTAACATAGCACATCTTAATGAAAAAGTAAATTAGAACATAAATACAGTGACCGAGGGAGAAGCTGTTGTTGTACACTACTGCCACCACCTGCTGGGAACATTAAATATGTAGTTTGATGCAAATAACAAGCAGTACAAATATACTCCATAGGCACAGCTAAGCAAAAAGGATGGACCCCCTCCAATGAGCACAGTGTGAGTTTCATGAGGTTTAGTTTGCTTTGTAAAACTTAACTTTTGTATATTTTTCATTTAGAACTGCAAAAAGTCAAAACCATAAGAATGCTTCACATAATCGGGATCTCCTGGCATCTGCAGCAAAGTTGTTAATAGTAAAGAGTAGAAAAAAGATACAAAAAAGTGAAGTTTAAATATATGCCAAAAACTAGCTGAAACAGCTGGGCGGAATGCAAAACGAAGTGTAGATGAATAGCTTCTCAGATTTTTTAATTTGTAAACACATTTCCTGTAGGAAAAATAGAAAATATAAATAGTGACATAAAACAGCACAGAGAGGAAAAAAAATTGGGTCACTAGYTCAACCAGGAGACTCCACAAAGTCATTTTTGTACCATTCCTGAAGGTGGAAATTTCCATTCTAAGGGGACAAAACCAATATTTTATCTTAAAAAAAAAAAAGTTTTCTTAATTAAAATGTTCTTTCCAAGTGGCCTATTTATACTAGTAACTTCTGTAAAAAAGCGTGAGTAGTAGTTATCTATTTTTCATTTTCTCCAGTGAGTGCACGAAACCATTTCTCATTTTCGTGAGTGCACGAAACCATTTCAATCAGCACACAGAAGCAGGACAGACACCGGAGGGTCTCCATGCATCCCAGTGAGCAACTGAGATGTATGGGAAAATCCCTCATTGGGAAGGGAACTGCCTCAAGGTCCAGTACAGCCTTTCCCATAAAACCATGTCAAGACATCACTCTTCCATTTAAGCATTAAGTGAAAATAAACCGTGTATCCCGGGAGGAAAATATATCTTCAGTGAAAAACAAGCCAATGAGACTGATGTCACAGTTGATTCAGAAATAAGTTTTTGAAACTTRAATTTCTGAATCTCAGCAGCATTGCGGGGACTGTTTTAGTCAACTTGGGCAAATAACAGCTCTGGCGCACTGCGCTCCCATGCTTTCATTTTGGACAAGCACAAAACAGGGCTTTGGAAGCCTAATCYTATTCTAACCAGTCACCAACAGTGTTTCTCCAAAATACAACCCAGATAGTTCTGAGCAGGTCCCAGAGAAGGCAGGAGTGCTGCTTTTGGCAGATACCAGCTTGGCCTTTGGGAGGGCTGGTGTCTGACGAGCGGCTTTTGCTTCCCTCTTGATTTGTACCCAAACCTGGCTCGCAAGAAAAAAGCTGCTCTGAAACGTTACCACACAGAACACAGAGGGGGAAAATAAAAATATTTCCTTTAAACTCGCTCCCCAGAGCGCGGCTGCCGCTGTTTCCTCCCCTCCGCTTACAGGGATTTCTCTGCTCCGCACTTCCTCTAACGGCCGCAACGGCCGCAACGGCCACTTCGGTCCCGCCCCTTCCGCCCGGGCCCGGAAGGCGCCGCTCGTGCTGAGGCGCCAACATGGAGTATCTGGAGGGGCCGGCGGCGCCCAGCCCGGGCAACATGTGAGGCCGCGGGGGCTGTGGGGCCGGGAAGGGGCCGGGAAGGGGCCGGGAAGGGGCCACGGGGCACGGGCAGCCCCTGGGGCCGCGGGTGGCGGCGCTGGGGCCGCGCCGGGCGCTGCTCCGCGGCCTCCACGCGACGGGCAGCGCCGAAAGTTGCAATTACAGCCACAAACGCCGCGTGTCCCTCGGGTTGGCAGGGGCCTGCCCTCGGGCTGGCGTCTCTGCAGCGGGTTTGAGTCCGTTCGGTTGTTTTATCTTGGCACAGGGARGGGAGGTTTCGATTTTAATATTTTTATTTCATCTTTTTTAAAAGAAAATTTATCCTTTTCTACCTCTTAATAAGCTGCGTCTATACTAATTCTTACCCTGCTTTGTTTTGCACGCTCTCCTTGCGGCACGGGCTCCGGCGCGCAGCCTGTGCTGCCAGTGCGGCRTGGCCATCCCGCCCAACGCGGCCAACATGTGCGTGGGCTGCCTGCGCTGCCAGGTGGACATCACGGAGGGCATCCCCAAGCAGGTCACCGTGCACTTCTGCAAGCAGTGCGAGAGGTGGGTGCCCCGGCACAACCGCTCCTGGCTGCCTCTGTRAGCAGAGGTGCCTCTGTTCCAAGCTGGACATTGGGAAATAAGTGCCTGCCTTTTTAAGGGTTTTAATTTACTGAAACTGTTTCATAGTTTCTCAAATATTTTTTTTGCCCTGCAGGTATCTTCAGCCTCCGGGAACCTGGATTCAGTGTACCTTAGAATCCAGAGAGCTTCTTGCRTTGTGCCTGAAAAAAATCAAAGCTTCACTTAGCAGGGTGGGTACCCGAGTTGCTTTAGTGCTTCATAAAGTGAAATCTGACTAATGTGCACACGTAGCTCCTTGTTTTTACATAGACCTTATCAGCTGATCCATACTGAGCATAGAGAGTGGCCATCTGATCTCATGCAAGTCATCTGATTTTGAAGGACTTGCAAAYAAATTGAGGCTACTGCAGTCCAAATCTGTGACTTTAAGGCATGCAAAACTACAAAATTGTTGTCATCTCTATGGGAGTTGAGTGTAGTCAACTGAAGGAAGCTAAGGTGGTTTTAGTGCCATTTAATTTTGCAGTTTTCTTTTTAGGAGTTTTAAGGTTTATTTCTCCAAAGGTTGCTCGTGTGTTTGCTGTATTTCTGAAAGGATCTGTAGAGGTCTGCACACAGAATGAATCAAAAGTTATGGATTGGATGAAGTATCTCTTAGGTTAAGAATATTACCAGAGGAGAAAATCTGAGGTAGAGTAGTAGTTTGCCTTGTTGACATTTTTATATTAGGCCAGTGTTTATGTATTCTAAACATCTCCAAATGCACAAAATAGGATTTTTTTTTTTTGTGATAGCAGTTCTTAGTGCATCCTTGTTTCCTGTGTTCATATTGGAAGCCCACTGTGACTTGTACAAGTTGCTGTATCCACTTTTTCTTCCATTATTTTTGTATCTTATTTTTGCTCCGGTTTTTGAAAAGTTTAACTGCATCTGATAAATTGCTGTAGAGTATGTTTTTAGATATATTCCTGAATTTCGTACGTTCTTCTTGTTAAAGTTTGCTTGGAAATTAATTCATTTCCTCCTAAAGAAAGATTCTTGTGTTAAAGTAAAAGGGTGTTCTGTGCACTGACCATTGATGTTTCTGAACTGCTACTGATCCATTATGTTGCACTGCAGGTTGCCAGCCAAAAGCAAATCAGAGTCAACTGGAAAGTACTGATTAATTTTGTTGCTGTTATTAACATAATTACTCTTCCAGTGTGATATTGCTTATTTGAAAAAATACAGTAAGACTTGAAAGGAGAGAAGAAGTGCTACTCTGCAACTTATCTGTGTGCAAGTTGAGCACGGTTACTATGGGGCTTGTTAGATTGCTGAACTTCTGGCTTTGTTTTATTTTTTGAGGTTATTAACTTCCTCGGTGGATGAAGAATGAAGTGTAGCATAAATGTATGTTTTCTGGCAGCGCAAACTCCAGTAAAACTGTTGGCAGCAGCTAAGTTTTTGTACTTTTCCATTGACAGGTCCGGCTCATTGATGCAGGATTTATTTGGACTGAACCACATTCTAAGAGACTTAAACTAAAACTGACTGTACAGAAAGAGGTACCTGAACTATAGAATTCTGCATGTAGCTTTAAAAAAAGCGGGGGAGGGTTTGTTTGTTTGTTTGTTTGTTTTAATGGACGGGTCTTGGAAAAATTACTGATTTCATTATGCTCAAATTTAGCATTAAGAGTGCTGCTCATCACAGTTTGAACAAGGTTATCTGTCCCTGTAAAACTTTCCCAGAGAAAATACTGCTTATGTTTGTGACATGAATTTGACTTTGTGTCCTATAATTCTAGCAGAGGTAATAAAAATAGTAACAATTTGGAAGTAGTTTCAGAATGCTGAAATGATTGTATGAAATAGTCTTGTTTGGACATGACTAGGAAAGAGAGAGTGAAAACTCTTTAAACTTTTATTTTTGCAGGTGATAAATGGAGCAGTTCTTCAGCAAATATTTGTGGTGGAGTACATGGTTCAGTCTCAAATGTGTGAAGACTGTCACAGAATTGAAGCTAAGGATTTCTGGAAAGCTGTAGTTCAARTCAGACAAAAGGTAGAGGCAAATTTAGTTAATATTTAGCAACTAGATATATAAAGATAACAAATAGATGGTTTAAATAACTTGTGGTATAAATGCAGGATATGTGAAATCTTGTTCGCTGGGAAATGACTATTCCTTTTCTGGATCCTATTTCCATGTAATGTTTATTCTCACCATATACTCCATATACTCCATTTAATCCACTAGGATTAAATAGAATAACTTTAATAAATTTGTCTTGCTTTGGTTTCAGACTTTGCACAAAAAGACTTTCTACTACTTGGAGCAGCTGATTTTAAAACACAGGCTTCATCAAAATACGCTTCGCATCAAAGAAATCCATGGTGAGTGAATTGGCTTCATAATCCTTGAGGAGGAGTRGCCTGTTTCACATTGGAAGAATGTTTACATCGGTAGCTCTGTACAGACACGTGCCATATTGTTCTTTTTAAATACACTACATACTGGAAATGCAGTATTTCTAATAGTTGTCTTCACTGAGCTTTCCTTTCTTTAAGATGGCTTGGATTTTTACTATTCTTCAAAGCAACATGCCCAGAAGATGGTAGACTTTCTTCAGTGTACAGTTCCTGCAAGGTATGTCATCTAATATTTTGTTTGCTCTGTCTTGAATACACTTTGGGAAAATGTCTTTTATCTTTTTTGTTGTTGTTGTTGTTGTTGTTGTTTTTAAATATGCAACTACAAGTAACTTGTATTCTAGTTAAACAGAAACCCTTCTTACAGAAGGCCTATGTTTTTTCCATGTAGCCATTGTGAAAGGAATCTTGGTACATTTTGCCATTTCCTTAAAATATTTGTAGTATGCAGCTAGGTATCTTTTTGATATACTTTGTGATGATTGTGTTCTGCTTTAAATAATGTCTTTCTTACTGCTTCAAGGCTTTATTACTTATGTTTTATAGAGCAAAATCATCTCAACGCTTGATCTCACATGATATCCATAGTAATGTCTACAATTACAAAAGCACTTTCTCTGTGGAAATTGTTCCCATATGCAAGGTAGCTTCTCTCTGTTTCATCTTGGGGTAGTCAGTGGCTAGAGTTCGTTTTTGCTAATAGTGGTTAGAGGTTGTTCCTTGTCTTTACAAAGTTTTGAGCTACGGAGGCTCAATTTAGTGTCTGTTTGGGGAGGAGAGACAGTGCGTGTGTGTTTGTGCCCATGAAGGGACTGCAGATAGCAATTATTTTAAGGAGGTTACTGGGGTTACCTGGTGGAGTTTAAAATTTTAAATTTTATTAAAATTTTAAATTAAATTTTAATTTATTATTATTAATTTTCCTTTTGTGTGCAGGACAATGTTGTTTGTCTGTCACCAAAACTGGCACAGAGCCTTGGAAACATGAGTCAGATCTGTGTGTGCATTAGGGTAACGAGTACCATCCACCTCATTGATCCCAGCACTCTGCAGAGTAAGTTGTGAAATCTCCACTGCCCCGTGGCTGCACGTGGCTTTCTGCTGGCACAGGCTTTTACGTTCTGCTTTCGTGTTTTASGACCTCAGTGTTGACAAGGTGCCTGTACACTGGTAAATCCAGAGGAATATTTTTTATGAATGAAAGATTCATGCTTCAGACATACAGTAAGTGATCTAGCTTGGTATAGACAGATCATGAGCAGCTACTAAAATAAAACTTTACAGTGAAATGTTGTCCTAGGCACTTGTTTTATGATAACAAACTTGGACACGGTCCATTTGGCAATTACTTTAATTTTTACTAGTACTCATTTGTTTGTGGGTTTGTGTTTTTTCTTAATTTCTCTGAAACAAATTCTCACCCTGTCTTTTCAGTCGCTGAAATTGATGGCAACACTTACTGGCGCCACCCTTTCAATAGTTTGTTCCACCCGAAGCAGCTGGAGGAGTTTATTGTTATGGATATCACCAGAGTTCAAGAGAAGAGAAAAGGTGCAGGTGCAGGGGCAAGATCAAACAAAGTAAGAGCTGTCTTATATGTGAGGAGTTCCGTTTTGAATCATTCTATATTACAAAGTTACATATATGTTTTTCTTATCTGAAGCTTTCTATTTCTGTCGAAAAAACTCTTTTCCAAGTAATTTTCTTTATTTATAGAARTGGTTTTAAAAACTATGCATTAGGGATGAGAAATGGGAAATAGCAATTTTTGGATACTTGATGAGGAAATAAAGGTTTGATTACAAATTAATTTAAAGCAGTAATATAGCAGTATGAATGCTTTAATAGCACGGCAAGCTCTGCTGCTTTTGAATACGTATATATTTCTTTTTTATTCCTYAAGCACACACTGGCAGAAGCCTGGGTACAGAAGACTTCCGAGTTGAATACGGATCATCAGTATTTCTGCAATACTCACTTGGGACACATTTTAAATCCTGGGGACCTTGTCTTGGGGTAAGATTTTGGGGGAGGAGGGGGAGGTGGAAGAAGCTTCCATTTAAATGAGTAACTCTAAGATTTTATCATTTGAGTCATGCGTGCAGGAGGTGTTTGTATTTTGGTGATGATAGGACCAAAAATTACCTTGAGAAAAGGGCTATTAATAAAGAGATAGTTAATGTTTTGCCTATAAAGTGCATTTTTGAGTAATAGTTTTATTGCAAATCAATTGGGGGCATTTTGAAAATACCAGTCAATATGAGAATATAACACAACATATGGCCTTGTTGCTCAATAATAAACAGCACTGAGGTAAACTAGACTTCAGTACTAGCGGGCTTAAGGATGAGTGTTGCTGGAAGTGCTGGGAGCCCAGCAGAATCTCTGTGGATACTTCTGTATGGGACAAGTCACCACAATTTGAGATAACAGCTTTTGCAATTTAGTTGTAGTTAGGATRGCTTCTGTGGCTTCTAATTTGCTCTAATTTATTTGAAAATGTTCATTTTCTTATGAGCTATAATTTACAGTCTTCAGCATAATCATTCAGTGCATCAAGTTCAGCTTTGTATGTGTATGTAAAGGAGTAGGATAATGTCTCTGTTCTCATTTTTAGATTCGACTTGGCCAATTGTAACTTAAATGATGAGTTTGCAAATAAGATGAACCCACACCATATTCCTGATGTGGTAGGATCATTTTCTTGTATAAAATTTTCACACATTATTCAGGAGTTTTCGGAGTGATTGGTTTACAATAAATATTTAGCAGTTCCTGCCAAAGAAAAGGGACATTAATGCTGAAATTAGACTCATTCTGGGAATTATTTTCTCATGATCTCTTTTTTTTTGTATGTGTGTGGTGTTTAAATAATAGATTTCCAAAGTGTCTGGAAACTTTCAGATTGACAAATGCTATATAAACTGTATATAAAAGCTTCTTAGTGCCAGACTGGCCACTCCAGAACTCAAGGCAGAATTACTGCTGCTGCTGTCTTGTGTTTAGTAGTATAGTTGTTGACTCAATCTGTAAAATCAGCTGAATAAATGGTATCCAAATCTAGACTTGAATATTGTTTGGGATTTTGAGAGAACCTTGTCAGTTTTGTTTAAGGCATGTGTGTAAGTGGACCTGCTGTTATTGTTATACTTAGGTATTGATAAAGAAGAGCTACGACCGGTCCAAACGCCAGCGTCGCAGAAACTGGAAACTAAAAGAGCTTGAGAGGGACAGAGAGGGCATGGATACAGATGACGAAAGGTTCAGTATCTACAGGCAGCTTTGTAGTCCCTTCTACTAGGACATGGTGCCAGATCTAGGAATAACATTCCTCAGTGTCTGCTGAGGATAAACACAGTGTAATACCTGGAGTGATTTTCTTTGCAAGAAAAGCCTCAGCCAGGATATATATTATTAGCATCAGAAGCTTTTTGTCTTTTGTTTACAGTTGGCATTGATTTGGCTAAAGGGATGTTTTCGTGAAAGCACGGGAGGATTTTCATGGATGGTACATTTAGGGACAAAGCTGTTGCAGCAACAGCTGATTAATTCTAAATAACACTCAACTGAGCAGAAAGCTGAGGCAGTTAGTGTTAAAYGAGGACAAAGTGATTTAACCAATACATGCTAATAATTAAATGGAAAGAAATATTTTTGAAAATATAGGCATTTCACTCTGAATGCATATCTAAAGGACTTCATTCTGCAGTCCTTACTTGGAGCTTTGTGTTCTTATTTATGTTCTTATTTGTGTTCTTATTTATGGGTATTGTGTTCTTATTTATGGGTTTTTATGGGTATTGAAGTTCCCTGATGAATCTCTAGATAAATTTGCATAAAGTTTTAAAAAAAAAAAAAAGTGATTAATTGCACTAAGCTGCTTTTACAGACAATACCAAGACTTCCTTGAAGATCTTGAAGAAGATGAAGCTATAAGGAAGAATGTCAACATTTACAGARGTAAGACCTTTTTAATCATTTAATGGCATATAATTAGATCTTGACCGTTTCAGTTAAAATATTTATATTGAAATGCTGTGTTTGAATTCTTCCACGTGCTAATGCTTAGAGAAATGCTGAAASTTGAAACTGTGGGTTATTCTGTTTTGCACACACTGAATGGGATGTTTTGTGCATTTCTTTGCATTTAACATGCAAGATAGAAGTGTAGTTTTGGCASGGGGGAGGTGGTGTTAAAAAGCCCTCTACAACAAACAAATATCCCTGTGAAGATTTGTTAATTTATTTATCATCCTTCGTGAAGACAAGCTGCATTCTTTGTAGTGGGGTTTGAGGAGGGAGTTTGGGATTTTGGGGTTTCTTTTGCGTGTGTGCGTGGTGTTTTCTCAGTTTGTTGCTGTTTCTTAGATGCAGATGTTCCGGTGGAGAGCGACACGGATGACGATGGGCCGCCACGAATCAGTCTGGCTGAAATGCTGGAGGATCTCCATATATCCCAGGACGCCACTGGTGGGGAGGGAGCAAGTATGATGACAGAATAAGAACAACCACACGGTACATACAGTAAATGTCCGTTTGGGGAGGAAGAAATACTCAAAATGCCCAATACATAATAATTACAGTTTGTAATGTTTAGTTAGAAGCTGAACTTGGAAAATAATGTGATGGATACCATTATATCACTAAATCATGTTGCTGAATGATTATATATAATTTTCCAGAGGAAGCCGTTGAAGTTAAATCCCTGGAGCAGGCATTGTCGTGCAAGTTCCATGGGTTCCTCACATTCCCCTGGCAGCTTCTTCCCTTTAACTTCTGCAGTTGTAGGTGGTGTTATCTTACCTACTCTTTATTACTTTGTTTCTTATCTGTAAGGCAGATTTTTCCTGTCTTAATCTTTTTTTCTTTTTTTAGCACAGTGGTTTCAAGTATTACATGAAGATGCTGGATTATTCCCCATTATAATATTTGGGGGAACTTCAAGCATGCATCTTCTGTTCCTTTGGTAACGTAACTCCAAATCTACATGTTCTGTACACACACAAAAAAAAAAATTCCTGTAAGTTGATTGAAGGTGCAGCATCCTAAGTCAGAAAGATGGYGACTTCTGTTGACTGTAATGAATATTGTGGTGTGCATAATCTCTAATATAACAGATATGAACTATTAAAAACTATAAAACTTTTTTTTGTCCATCACTTGGTTATCTGTTAAATTACTCTCTATTGTGAACCCAAATAGGACACATTGGTATAGTTGGACATAGAATATTGATGTCAGTCAGCTCTCTGTTCACTTCTCTGTTCAAAGGTGGCACAACAGAAATACTGCTAAGAGTTTATGTGAGTTTACATTTAACAGAAACAGGGAAACATGCCATGCAGGAAGCATAATGTTGCCACTTATTCTGCAACATGTTTTGTGAAGAGTTAAAAATGAACTGGCATATGTGAAAGAAGGGAATACTTGTAAAAATGGGAAATTTATTAAGAGATGAGTAGGATTGAGTTACAGAGGTATTATTGATTCCTCTGTGTAATTCATAAACTCGGTTAAGTGTTCTCATTTTGTCTGTCACTACTTGTGTGTTTGTAGAACTTCTTGAGAAATATATAAGGCTGAAAATTCACTGCACTGTTTCTCTGTAGTACCTGCTGATGAGGTGTCAGGAACACCTTTCTGAATGACAGCACTAGACACCTTTTTAAGGTGTTTTAATGAAAAATTAGGAAACAGTCCAGGCCTTGCCAGTGGGCTGGATGTTGCTAGGTAAGAGAAATTCTGCCTTCGTCTTTAGTTCAAATGTTAGCTGTGGACTAAGCATTTCTGAGCAAGTGTGACTGCTTCGCAACCCAGTCTTGCCTCTGTTCCTGGTGTTTGAGCCCCAATAGAGTCCCTAAGAGGCAAGTGAATTTTTGATCCTAAATGATGAGTTAAGTTCAGGGTGGTTTGTTTTGTTTGTTTCTATCYGTCTTATAATCATCCCCTTGCAAAGGGAAAAAGTGGAAATTTGGAAGGCAATTTTGATGCAGCCGAGTGTTCCCTTGGAGCTGGCGAGTGAGTTGTTAGCTCAGGGATCCCTTAGGAGTGTTTCTCACTCTGTATTTGTCATGCTGAGCTTTTTTGCTTCCTCTCAGGAACTTTCTATTTTTATTATGTAGAGAAACAGCCAAGAAAAATCCATAAAGTTGCTGAGAACTGGAAGTGTAATTTATATTATACTRCTAACTTAGTTCACTATAGGAACTGCATAAAGCAATGCTCAAAAAAATCCCTGAGAATAGAGCTGCATGACTAACCTGAATTATCACTCCAGTAAATTTTACTATGCTCTGGTGGCGGGAGTGTTGGGATAGAGATAAAACTCAGTCCGGCTGCCTCCTTTGGACCGTATCCGTGGAAATCTTTCAAGAGCTTTAATTTGTAGGCAATTCATAATGTGTCTGGGTGGGATGTGGTTTGGGCTGTGTTTTTTCCTGGCGGCTGAGAGCAATCAATCCTTTATCTTGTCTTGTTTGCTATGAACAAACTGTCTCCTGTTGGGGTGAAGGAGGAGCTGGAATCAAAGTGGCACCGTGTAAAATGAGCTTTTATCGTCCTCTTCTTCCTCTCTGATGCTTTCCTTGTACATCCTAAGTTCAGATGTGCTGCAGTCCCATCCGTGTTTGCTCTGTGGCTCTCCCTTCGCCTTCTGTCACTYCCACAAGGTTTATTACCCGTCTGTATTAATTTCCAAGCATCTTCCAGCAAGGGACTTGTCTGGAGAAACTCACACCAAAGATGCCAGTCATAAATCTAAGCCTCYGGCTAAGCTTGGTGTGTGTTTGTTTGCTGGCTGGTAACGCGTAGTGACAACGCTCTGGTGATGGGTAAGCTCTGCACTTGAAACCAAAGTTCTCATTTTAGGTCCTCAGGTTGACAGTGGGCCCTTCAACATTTAAACAGTTGGGAGCCAAAAGAGGCTTTGATGCTGTAACAGCAAGTGAAATGTTTCCCAAATTCTTCTCAGTGACTCTGGATAAGTAATTTGACAAGAGGTACTTAATTCTCAACAGATTAAAAGGCTGCCACTTAGACTTTGGGGAAAAAGAAAAAAAAAAAAAAAGAAAAAGAAAAAGAAAAAAACTCTATTTTGCAAATTAAGAGCCCATGATGTAAAAAGAAAGCACCTTTTTGTCCTGTACAGAAGTTGCCTTGCAACTGTGGAGCCAGAGCTGCCCAGTGATGTGTGGGCAGGGTCGGCACCAGGGCTGAGCGTTGTGGGCACCGAGCAGGTGCCTCGTGCGTGGCCAGGAAAGGGCTCTCTGAAGCAGGGCTGGGATGGCTGCGTTTCAAGTGCTATTGTCACTCAGCAGGCCAAACAGAAAGGACTTTCTGACGCAYTAAATAGGTGATGCAGCCAGCTGAAGAGATTGGGTTGCAGCAGACAAGAGCTTTTGTCCTTCAGAACAGCCCCTGTCCTGTTCTTTCCGAAACAAAGCGTTCACAATGGGAAACTAAATAGGGCTTCTTGCAGACTTTTGGCCCAAAAGCTCTTTTTCCTGCTTGGGAAGGGTGGGAAGAAGTAGCCAAGGGCGTTTTCATGCGATTCCCTTTCCCTTCTCCCAGGAGTTGCTCGTGGGGGGGTTGCCTGTGGTCAGTACGGGCTTTGCCAGGGACAGGGCACCCTCGTGGGGGGACCCCATGCACTTACTTTTCCTTTACAGCAACTGAAACAAGCCCAATGCAGAGTCCCTTATTCCCAGAGAAAACACCTGGTTGGGATGGCGCAACACGGCCAGAGAGAGGGAGCGGGAGTCTCGTTTCCGTCACCTGCAGTGACAGGCAGAAATGTTTCATGTGCAGAGATGGACCTGGAAATACTGGTGAGATGTTGACTCGGGCTGAGGACTGTCCTCGTCCGCCTGGTGTCACTGTTCCCCCACAGGAGCAGCCTGAAGCGGCGTGTTCAGCTGTTGCAAAGAAAAGCCGCCCTTGAACGCCCAGAGCTCCCTCCGCCTCCTGTTTGTGCTGATACATTTGCTACGTTGGGTTTTTTTTTTTTTAATTGATAAAAAACAAAAAAAAAGAAGGGAAAGACCAAAAAAAAAAAAAAAAAAAAAACCAAAAAAAGAACTGCTTTGGTTTTGGCCGTTCAGGGACTTATTCCTGGCTCTCTGCCGCTGCTGCCAGCAGATTCCCTCTGCGCTCTGCCAAGGCCACTTATTTTAGCCATGTGCTCCCAGAGCAACAGTTAAATATAGGAGCGAGACTCCTGTGTTGGGTTTCAGAGTGTTTTGGCGACTGTGGCTCATTCCAGAACATAATCATGTAGCAATGAATATTGTTGACCTCAGAATTTCAGACTTAAGTTTTCTGTACTTAACCTTCAGTGTAAGCATAAGCTGGGAAYTTGGTTAAGATGCTTAAAGCTGGAGAGATCAAGTCTAAAATTGGTCAGGATCGGATCCAAGCATAATTACCAAAAATTAAAAGTGCCTTTAATGTAACAAAATGATATGTATGAGATGCATTTGCAACTGATGTAATTTCTTGYGTTAGTTAAGAAAATGTTTCACATGTGCCAAGGACTGCAAGGACATTGGAAGAATGATTTAAAATTGGGATTCAATGAAAAGCTTTAAATGACAGACAGAAACTATTTAATGTATCAATTATTTGGTCTGGCTGTTTGCAGAGTGCTTTGCATGACGGAACTCGCTGCAGATGGGCTGTAACAAACTGGGTCTTGCTTGGGGGGCTTTGTAAACTCAAACCTTTCTGATGGGTTGATCAGAGATGTAAGGGGATACAATTTTTAATTGTGCTTGTACTGAAATGAATTTATACTAATGTGCAAAAGCTTGACCAGAGAGATGTAAACCAGAGAGAGCCCTAAGAGCCGCCTGAAACTCTGTTTGTTTTAGATTTTTGCATCAGAGATGTGTGAGCATATTCAAAACAATCCAGAATTAGAATTACCAGAGGGACATCATGGAGCACGGCTGAAATTTAGATGACAAAGAGCAGGAATGTGCCAAGCCGAGGTGACAAGCCGCCTGCCCGGCTTTTCCTGTGAGCTACTCGGGCAGCCCGGACTCTTCTGCTGCTGGAGGGCCCTGGATGCCCCAGGGAGGGTAGGTGAGTGTGGGAATTGTGCCCAGATTCCTGTTTAACAATYGCAGGCATTAAAAAAAGTTACGTATATTCAAGGATTTCTGTTTTTAAATTACTTTTTATAGATCTAAGTGCTGACTTAGGAAGTAAGTCTTTATTAAAGCTTTCATCTATCTCCTTTGGCATCCTTTCCATGGGGCTATTAAATCACTTGCCAGTAGTATATACACGCAGGGCTTTATATAGCTGTTATTGATAGGTAGCATAAAGCAGGGAGTTTACGACCTTGAATTATGTACCAAAAATAATAGGCTCAGTGTTTTGKTTTTTACTTTTTGCAAGTTTACTTTTTGAGTAGAGCTTTCCATGCTGTTTTAAAGACAACTTATATTCAAGATTAAGTAGTGAGAAGTCCAGTTGAACTGTGACATTGTCCCTCAAAATCCCTTTTCATGCAGATAAGTGGGCTGTGCATAGATGTGTACGTGAACGAAACCTTGGATATTTTTGAATAATGGCCTTGTGATGAGCAGGGGCTGCTGCAGGAGATGAACACCCTGGTTTCTGTGGCCCTTGGTTCATGATGAGCGGCAGTTATGGAAACTACGATTAAACGTTGGGAATGGTTTTTATAAAGACCAAGAGGGTGTCGCGCCTGCAAGGACTGTGCTGTTCCCTGCTGGACAAGGTGGTGTTGTGACCTTCCCAGGAACGATGGGATGGGTTGGGATGGTCTGGTTTTCCCAGGGCCAACACTTTGAGTTTCTTGCAGGTGTGAGCTCTGCAAAACTCCCCTCTGGAAGCGCCGCTTTGGTGGCGGCTCCTTGGCGGGATGGGCAGCTCGCAGGCACTGCCGGAGTCCGCGGGACACACGGAGGCCACGGGAGCCGCTTGTGGGAGCCCGAGGCCACAGGAAGCGCCGGTGCAGGACACGTGCCCCATTTCAGCTGCTTCAATGTGTCCCCCTGGAAAACAGCTGCAGCAATTCCGGTATAAATACCATTTTATTAGTATGTCTGCTATATAYTGGAGAAGTTACCAGAGGAGGGGTTTATTTCTGTAGCAAAGGAGGCCCAGTCTTCTTTGAACATG